ATCGGACTGCAGACACACGATGTCCTGTCGCCGTGTGAAATAGAATCGAGCTGTCCGCGTGCGAATGTGGCCGCGACCTGTCAGGTTCCAGATTGGTTTCGGTTTCGCCGCATAAATATATTTTTGAAAATACAACCATTCCTCTAGCATCATTTTTTAATGATCTTGCAAGACATTTAAATAGTCTAAATGTCTACACTCATGATGGAGCTCACCTTTACTGATATTCGTATGCAAGATAATTTCGGTTTCGGTTGGCTTTTTTTTTTTTTTGTGCAACTGCTGCTCTACGCTTAATTCCTCATGATCTCGCAAGACATTGCCTTCAAATGTCTACGTTGACAGTAGAGCATCTTTTTAAATCCTCTGTCTCCCACAGTAATGACTCTAATCGATGTGATTGATCTCGTGGACTCCAGCTTTGTCTTCAACACTAATTTATATGGCGTGTAAATACGCCTGCTAGTAAGCAAGCGACGAAGGAAATATTTTTCGCGCATCTCGTGCGTTCATTTACCCGTCATTGCGTTCGAAAGATCATGGCCCCTGCCTGGCTGACATGGCTTTCTGCATTTTATATTGTCCATTGATTGGTGTGCCCCTTCTTTATATTTCTTCCTTTATTAAAGTGTGCTGATGTTCCTATAGCAAACAGGTATTTATAGTTATCCCACTTTTTCAGACGACTTGGGAGCCATCCAGCAGGGATCCCGATATTTGCCAAGTTTCAACACTTTTGTTTTTGATACAACTCATCAGGGCTGATTGCACATTTGAGCTAAAAAAAATTATGATCACCATTCTGTCTAACCTAAAAATTGAAGTTCTCCAACTACATAAATATGCACAGAAAAAAAGTGAAAGCCGTTTACAACTCTGTAACACCGAATTAGAGCGCAGCTCTTGAGGAGGAGGAGGGAAGGGTACTGGGGGGGGGGGGGGTCAAGTGACCTGGGGGGGTCACGTGACCTTGGGGGGTCACGTGACGGTGCAGATGATGCCATCAGTGACGTCACTGATGACGTCATCAGTGACGATGGCGATGCGGATTCCGATGACGTCATCAGTGACGTCACTGATGACGTCATCGACGATGATGCGATGACGATGCGGATGTCAGTGACGTCATCAGAGATGATGACGATGCGGATGCCGGGGACGTCATCAGTTACATCACTAATTACGTCATCAGTGATGATGATGATGCGGATGCCGATGACGTCATCAGTGACGTCACTGGTGACGTCATCAGTGATGATGCGGATTCCGGTGACGTCATCAGTGACGATGACGTCATCGGGAGGTCACGTGACCTCGGGGGGGGGGGGTCACGTGACCTCGAGGAGAGTGGTCACGTGACCTTGGGGGAGGGGTCCCGTGACCTCGGGGGGTCACGTGACCTTGGGGGGTCACGTGACCTTGGTTACGCCGACGCCGCTCAAGCCGGGAACGGGCCCCTAAAGCGCGATCCAAACCAACGCTTCTTTTTGCGCCTGTAGGTCGTGCGGCTGCGGATGTGACGTATTTTCGTGACGTCGCGCCACTTCTTCGCTCCTTTCGGGCGCGCACAAGAAAGTTGGATAATTTCAACTTCTTCTCAACGCGCACAAAAACGCGCGGTGACGTAGTAGGGCGCACCTGTGTCCCGGCCAATCGGTGGAGGGCAAGTTAGTTCCGGCTCCGCGTTTCTCGCCGTCTGGCTGCCCTCTCCTCCCCCCCCCTTTTATTCTCTTCCAACATGACAACGCGATCTCTCTCTCTCTCTTTCTCTCGCCGGCCGGTCTGTCGCAGTTGCACTTCGCTTGTGCGCGCGTGCCTGCGTGCGCGCTCGCCCGAAGTTTCGCCCGTCCAAACCAAAGCGCACGGTTCTGACGCAGAAAGCGCGCCCGAAAACAGCAAAAACGCCACGAAATGCGTCACATCCGGATGTGACGTATTTTCGTGACGTCGCGCCGCTTCTTCGCTCCTTCCGGGCGCGCATAAAAAAGTTGCTTGATTTCAACTTCTTTCTCAACGCGCACAAAAACGCGCGGTGACGTAGTAGGGCGCTCCTGTGTCCCGGCCAATCGGTGGAGGGCAAGCTAGATCCGGCTCCGCGTTTCTCGCCGTCTGGCTGCCCTCTCCTCCCCCCCCCCCCCCCTTTTATTCTCTTCCAACATGACAACGCGATCTCTCTCTCTCTCTCTCTTTCTCTCGCCTTCTGGCCGGCCAGTCTGTCGCAGTTGCACCTTGCTTGTGCGCTCGTGCCTGCGTGCGCGCGTGCGCGCTCGCCCGAAGTTTCGCCCGTCCAAACCAAAGCGCACGGTTCTGACTCAGAAAGCGCGCCCGGAAACAGCAAAAAACGCCACGAAATGCGTCACATCCGCAGCCGCACGACCTACAAGCGCAAAAAGAACCGCAGCCGCACGACCTACAAGCGCAAAAAGAAGCGTTGGTTTGGATCGCGCTTTAAAGCGCGATCCATACCAACGCTTCTTTTTGCGCCTGTAGGTCGTGCGGCTGCGGATGTGACGCATTTCGTGGCGTTTTGGCTGTTTCCGGGCGCGCTTTCGGAGTCAGAATTGTGCGCTTTGGTTTGGACGGGCGAAACTTCGGAACGAGCGCGCACGCAGGCACGAGCGCACAAGCAAAGTACAACTGCGACAGACTGGCCGGCCAGACGGCGAGAGAAAGAGAGAGAGAGAGATCGCGTTGTCATGTTGGAAGAGAATAAAAGGGGGGGAGGAGAATGCAGCCAGACGGCGAGAAACGCGGAGCCGGAACTAGCTTGTTCTCCACCGATTGGCCGGGAAACAGGAGCGTCCTACTACGTCACCGCGCGTTTTTGTGCGCGTTGAGAAAGAAATTGAAATTATCCAACTTTTTTGTGCGCGCCCGGAAGGAGCGAAGAAGCGGCGCGACGTCACGAAAATACGTCACATCCGCAGCCGCACGACCTACAGGCGCAAAAAGAAGCGTTGGTTTGGATCGCGCTTAAGAGCTGTGGGTAGTCCTCTCCGGAGGTCTGTAGAGCACTTCCCGTTTTAACGTTTTGAAAGTTTCAGTTCCTAAGAAAAGTAAAAGTGTTTAATCGGTGAACATTCCCCAAAACCTACACGCCAAGAACTCACCCTTATCAATCCAGAGTTGATCAGCTACATCACCGTGCAAACGGTGCATTGGGTTGGTGCGACGGTGGACATCACACAAGTGCCGACTGAATAACGTGCACTTTGCAAAAATGAGGTTCCCCTGGAGGTTACCGGTCCCCAAATTTCGTTTCAAAGACAAAGAATAATAAAAGGCGGGTACCCGCACGTCCGGAGACCATATGTCCCGCGGCATAGTCACAGAATTTCCCTTGAGCACTTGCCGCAGCGTTGAGACTGCCATACATATAATGGTTTGGAATTAGGAATTTTCTTTACTATTCATGGCAATGCTCGGATACAGATACCGTCAGAAACATAGATAGCCTCGGAAATCTTCTTCGCAAAGGTATGGTAACTCTTTGCAAATAATGATATGTCAATCCGAGGAACGCTAGTGGTGGATCCAAGGGGGGGGAGGGGGGGGGGGGAGCGACGGGGGCGGCCGCCCCCCCCCCCCCCCCCCGGCCCCCCAAACAAAGTCGACCCCCCCTCCCTCCCCCCTTCTCGAAGGGCAATTTGACATGGGTGGACCCCCCTTGCACCAGAAAGAATGGATGAATAGTATCCTTAAAAATTTTCCGCCCCCCCCCCCCCCCCAAAAAAAAAAAATAATAAATAAAAAAAACACGGAGTTCTGGATCCGCCCCTGAGGAACGCACGGATAGTTTCTCCAAGCTCACGGCCGTATTGAAATAATATCTCGATAAAAGTCGCTTTTTTTTGTTGTTGTTGCTGTTGTTGCGATGACAAGAAACACAACTGAACTGAGAAAAACATAAAATAGAGTATGAGGAGATGCAAAACACAAAGCACCCATCGAAAAACATATTCGAACCCCCGCGTACACGAAGTGCTTGCCTAGCCGATGATCCCATGCCTGATGTTATGTCACGCGTAGCGACAGGATGTCAGCCATTGACACTGGTGAAATTCGGGATGCAGTTTCGTACACACGCTCAGGACTAGTTTAATTAGTATCCGGACATTATATATCAAAATGAAAATGACGCTTGCCTCTATAAAGGCTCGTTAGACCTAACGAGCGCAACAACTTCAGTACTTCCGGTTTAGACGGGACAATCCCTTTAAGCATGGCGTCACATCGCACACATTTGAACACCAAGTAAAAGGAGGAGAGGGAAGCTGCTTTTGTAAGAATTTTGAGTGACAGGTTAATCTTCTATAATCTTCTGGGAGGAGAATGGCGACGCCTGTGCAAATCCGGGAGGCGCAAAGGAGGATCCTGATAAGAGGGGAGCTCCTTCTTCCCCTCTTCTCTGGAGGGCAACGGAAATGACGTCCTGTGCAAGGAGCCTATATAATGAATGGCTTGGGCAAGCTATTCGATATTTGATTCGAAAACATTCGACCAAAACCACTATTTGCTTCGAACTCAAGACCCACTATTCGCACATGCTTAAAATTTTACCACAAAACGATGGGTGAACTTAGCTACCGGCGCCGACGTTGCCTGCTCTCACGTGACTCTTCACCGACGAGCCGCGTTTTCATTGATGTCACGAAAGGTACCTTGCTGTGCCGTAGCAACACAGCAGCGATCAGGCAGCTGTGGATTGACCCTAATATTGAGAACACCATAAACCATGCCAGTCTAAATGTCATAGCTCGTTCCGGTGAGAATGCGACATTAACAAAATAGAGAGAGCATTGTTTATGAACTCGGCATTTCTGAATTAAAGCCTCAGGTTAAAATGTTCGAGTTATTTTTTTTTTTAAATAAATGTGATGCTTTTTTTTTTTTTAAGGAGGTCGTTTGTCTGTTTAATAATATCAGTTACCTAAGCGGTTTACTGGCGTTCGATATATGTCCCACACACATTCGAAGACAAGCTCAGACAATATGGTCGCCTAAGGTGCTTCGCATCCAAACGCAAGAGAGAAGTGTCCAAATTGCTTTCGAAGTGCGTTACACCGCGCCTTATTTGGCGCTTCGCCACACCGGACGAAGCAAAACATCACGTAAAACAGTTGGGGAGCTGAGAACCGTCGTTCGGAGACCACCAGCCCGTCGGTGTTGTTGGTGTGCTCGAAGGCTGCCCACAAGGCGTCCATGGACACGCGCTCAGCCACGTCACTGTTTGCAGACGCTGCTTGGGGACCACTGTCCGTCCGCTCCGCGGAGCGCAGAACTCGGGCGGCTCCTGTCCTCGTCACCTCTTGAACTCTGTTGTGTCCGGAAAAGAAGATTTCCGAAAACGCAGAAGCCAGCATCGAGCCGAGACCTCCGTACTTCATAGATAGTGGCATGACATGGTCAAAAATTGGCATATGGAGCGCGCACGGTGAAAGGTAGAACATCTGCAAGTCCTTGAACACCTCGAGCGGCTTGGCGATTCCCTTGGTGAGCTGATACATGTCCCTAGACGTTTTGGGCGATGTTTCGGTCTGGTCTTGGATTCGCTTCAAGTTCCCTGTTAAACTAGGGCCCATGTCTGGATATCTTGATACCATGTTTGTCTGCTGGTTTACTTCGACTGTATTCAGATAACCGAAGATGTGCTTCCAGGCGGATGGTGTCATTCTGTTCATTGGATTAGCGCGCTTGCTCCGCTGTTGTGCGTTCATAATATTGTCAAAGGCCTGTTCGATGGTTTCTGCGAGGCGAGAAACCTCATTTCTCGTTGCTTGATCGAACAGCAAATCCAAATAATTTGCGAAAAAGGCGAGTCCCATTATTTTATCGGCAAGACTGAAGCAAAAGGTAGAATGAGCCTCGCTGGCTATTTTCTCGGTTCCGTAGTAGTTGATAATCAAGTCTCTGCTTACGTACACTGAACAAAGTTGTACTGCGTACCATCCCACATAGAGATGCATATTCGATTCGTTCAGAGATTTCGTGAGCCTAAAAAACGTCTCGAGGAAATGTGATTGCGTTATCAAAATAGTGAAATTGAAATCGCTCACAGAAAACTCTTCTTTAAATATGTTCTTCCATGTCTCTAGGGGAATAGTGGGAACCAGGTGGTAGAGGTCGTTTATATGAATTGTCACGTGATCAGTATCCGAACTATTCAAAACTTTCATCAGAGCTGGTAATATGGCATCCTCGATGCTGACTTGCTGCTGGTAGGTAACAGCCGGTTTGTTCGTACCCTCGGCATAAGCATTCCAGAGGGTTTGGAAATAGACCTGGTAAGCCTTCGTCCGAACCAGTTCAGAGCGCATTTGGACGAGCTGTTCGAAGCCGTCGCTCACACCAAGGTGGAGCGAGGATCCGTTCCAGGTGACCGAGAATATGTTTCCCCAGTGCCAACGGTGGGCCATGTAGACGACGGTCCTCAAAACGTCGATGCTGCTCAAGTTGATATGTGGCCAGTAGATGCCAGCCTGGTGCAGGATCATCTTCATTTCGTCCACCTCATTCCGATTCTCGGTGTAGACGCTCAAGCAGGTAGTGTAGAAGCCCGCAGCTTTCTGAGCCGGCGTCTGGTTCCGCGATGGCACGCTCATGGTCCTCGAGTGGCGCCCGACGTCGTCGATGACTTGAGCGCAGGTCATCGAGAAGACGGAATCGGCGTGCAGCTTCGTCCAGCCATCGCACACGTAACCGTGGAAGTCCGCGCAGGGGTCAATGCTAATGTTCATGGTCCGCTGCAGGCGAAGCGAGTACTCGCCACAGGGGTCGCTGGTGCAGTCGGCGTGGCTGCGCACGACTCCCAATCTGTCCAGAAAGCGCGGCCTTCTTGTTAGCAACAGTGTAATGGTGATGATGAGGACCGGCACGCCGACAGTGGCGAAGATGAGTCTTCTCCGCGAGGAAAATGATTGCTGTTGATCGTTTTCCTCCTTGCCTTGCAGAGCACGGGCAGGCTGCATCTGTGTTTATAAACTTCGCAGTTAACTTCAGGTATTTATTACTTGTTGCATTGGAAAGAAACGTGAGAGGAAAAATAATCAAGCACGTATTTTACACACGCTGCCTTTTGTGTTCGTGGTGTTAGTAACAAGCAGTGTTGTGCACGCTACCGAAAATAAGTAATCAAATACCATTACTCTTTAGATTGTCCAAAATAATGCGGTACTGAGATTCGTAGCCATCTTGAAAATGTAACAAAATACCGGTTGCGCTACTTTAAAGCACTAGCGAGCTTCAATTTGGCCTTGCTTTATATTTAAGTATTTTTTGGTCGCGATAAGCTGTGAACACGAACTTCGAGAACCATTAATCTTTTACAAAGAGAATGTGTATACTTTATTCTGCTTTTTTCTTAAATAAAATTTCTAAAGTATATTTTTTTTCGTAATTCTAATTGGATCAGCTTTGCCTTTTCTGGCGAATGCTCCAGTGACTTCCATGGGCGACCAGGGCTAAGCAATATACTTTATTATTTAATAAAACGCGCGAGGCGGCGATGTTTGCTTGAACATGGGTAGTTTGAGCTTACAGGAAGTTTCTGATTGATGAGCGCTACAGTGTGTCGTGGTCTGATCTCCCACACTTCGGAGCATGACAAAACCTGCACTTTTACGCCAGTAATAGGTAACAACGACACAAATATGCCACACCACACGGAATATATATTAAAGGAACTCAAGACCTTGGTATGCCAATTTCACGGGCATTAAGCTGATAGGCATCAAATTCAATGTTACTGAAGTGTAAATCTTCAAAATGGGCTTACTGTCGTCATTTTAGCTGCCACGCTGAGGGTTATATGTCCACAAGCGTTAATCTATAGTTTTAGTTTGACAGCGTATATGTGGTACGTTGAATCAAGCAATAAGTAACCCGTTAGCACTAAGTTACGACGTGAAATTTATGCATCGTATTTATATTTGCTTGTCTAATGGGTGCTCTGTTTATGAACAAAGTCTGCGCGTCCAATTTCCCGCGGAGCACGCGGATAGTCAATCGTCCCGGTCCACGAAAGTAGCCCAGCGAAGGACAGCGATAACGTCCTCACAAGAAAATGTTATCTATTCAGATCGTATTTTCGCGGAAGATCGTTTTCTCGACTTTGTTACTGCTCGCTTCAGACGGGGCAGTTTTTTTCATTCTCCTGTTATCGCAACTCCAGCAACACGGGACTCCCGCATTGGCACACGAAGTAACTCCTGAAGCTTGTATTTTTCTTTTTTCTTATCATCATCAATTTCAATTTTAAATGTATTATACCATTTAGACACAGAGTTACACGTTAATAACGAGATTTTATATCTATCGATGGCGTTGAGAATATCATTTCATCTCGCTGAAACTATTTAGTCGCGAAAAGGATCTGTTTCAAACCATAACCAAGGTTAACCTTCTGTCCAGCTGTTATTATCCCGACCACAGGGGCGGTCATGTTAAAATATCGCGTCCCCGATTTGCTGCTGCCTCTTTAAAAGTCTCAGAGTTGTAGTTGCTCGCCCGTTTCGAGTCGGACTCGCGATGATCTAGGGAATCGCGTACAGGGAACCACTCGCCAGCAACCCCGAAATTACAGGAATAGATTTGTTGCATATGTGCTGTTGGAAAGTAAACGCGCCGACATCTTGTCCTCGCCCACCCCAATGACGTGCCCCCAGCCCATCTCAAAATGGCGAAAGCGTTACGCGGCGCCAGCATCGCTCACAATAACAGCGTACAGGAGCCTTTCTTGCAAACGCGTATACGTTTCTTAAAACATTTCCCGTGCATGTCTGGGCAACACTGCCAATGTATTGGCAGCTCCTTAACTCTTCTGACGTAGGAAAAACTGGGCTGCGTGACTGCACGAACGTGCCTGTGTCATTGACTCTTGTCCGTGGCATCGTTCGTTACCCATGTTTTGTTTGAAATCATCTCAAAACTTTAACTGGTTTTAGCAATTTCCGTCAGCGGAAATTTTATCGTGCATCCCTGCTCCACAGCTACAGATATTGCTCGCTATAGCTGGTACTGCTACGCATGCGTGATATACGTCAGGATTACGGTAGCGTTCTCCGCACGTTTCATTATGCTACACTTGTTCATTGATATCTTATGAACCTTGAACGACTCTTGTATTTTACGCTCAGACTTTAGCTATGCCCTGCTTCAACGAGGAAGAAAACGACGTCAATATACATTTATACAGGGTACAATAATGACCTCCTCAGCTCATTCTTAGAAGTTCGGAAATCTGCATGTGCGCCTCTTCCTCAAGATACATCATCACGTAGAGTGAATAATTACCGCGGGAGACGCTGGTGGAAACCTCTCGGGCGTGCTGAGAGGCAGATGCTCCATCCTACTGGTCCTGACGAATTCTGGGAGAAGAACGCTGCGTTATCCAGTCGGAAAGTCACGCGATTCTAGGCACTGGTCACGTGCACGACTTTCTCTGCTTCTTTTCAGCATTGAAATTACATGTGATGCAGCAGGATCTGAGCCTCTATGTCTGGGCGGTGATAATAATGAAAGGGAGATGTACCGCAGCCCGGAGCGCGTGGAGCTCGAGCTCGAGCTCCACGCGCAGGGATCCGGGTTAATCCCAACCCCTGCACGTTTCGATCTGAATGAGCCTGTATCGAAAAAAATGGACCTTTTCCGAGAAGTGTTCTCCGCACGCGCGAGCGCCCGATGCCAAGCGGCGGAAGTCGGAAAGAAAAATCGAGGAAATTCGGAAGGAGGCTGTATATCAGCGAGTAGAACACGCAACTGCAGCATATATATAATTGTGTTACACAAGAAAAGAACGTCGACGGAAAGGAAAACACGACGTTTGTGTGGACGTCACGGATGCCCCTCTTTAAAGTCGTGTTGGGCAGACGCCGCTGCTCAGAGAGCGAAGAAACTGATGGCGTAGCTCCATTATCGATTGGTAGCGCAGGTAGGTCACTTCCTCGATTTTTAGTTCGTGCAGCCACCGCCTGGTGCCGTCGGTATGTGGAAAAAGTCCATTGGGTTTTGTGTATGTTTATACAGCCTAGAACTTGGTCTGCCTCGACGGGCGACGAGTCTCAGCTGTAGATGAGCCATTTAGCCAGTGCAGTACAACCGCCAGCCTGGGGTCTTTAACGTGCATCACGCAGTAGTGATACACGACCGCACGCCGGTGCGGTGCTCATCCAGGTCGAAACGGGCAGACGGGGGGGGGGGGGGGGGGGGGGGGGGGATTGAACCCAGGATTTCTGGGTTCTGCAGCGCGAGCTTTCGCTTCACGTGCTCCGAGCTGGTGTGCGCTAGCCCACTCGGGCACCGATCCCCCGCCATGTATTGCTACTGCGTGATGTCAGGGCCGTATTAAGGTACGGGCTAAGGGGGCTGCAGCCCAGGGCCCCAGGCTGCCAAGGGGCCCCGTGCTGGCCCCTGGAAATATGAAAGAAAAGGAAAAGAAAAAGAAGGCTAGTCGGTTTCAGTTTAAAACAGCTCAAACCTAAAGGAGGATCATGTGAGCCTCTGGGCCCTGGCTTTCTGATCACTATAAACTTGCCAAAAAGTTGCCTTCTCTAGACGAGCTGGTGCTCGTGAACTCGTTGTAAAAGACTGTGTTAGACTAACAAAATGTTAGCGTTGCCTCCCACCCTTCTTGTGGAAGGGAGCAAAGCTGTCGACGCTGGCGGTCCCGTTTGACGTCTCTTCTAATTGAAGCCAGACGGCAGGACGGCCACGGGGTTTTCTATTGTACTGGGGCCCCGACGAATTATGCGGAGAATGGTGGCTTACAAGGCAAGCAAAAAAAGCAACACTTTATTTTTTTGTCATTTAGCGTAACTCCATATGGAAATTTTCCTCCAAAATGACAAGTTTCAAAACAAGCAAAAAGAAATATCGGTGAACCTCCCGAAGCCATCCTTTCTAACCACTAGCAGGCGTATCAAGGAGCCGGCTCTTGAGATGTCACCCAAAAGTTTTCGAGAGGCAGCAACTGCCAGAAACTGCTCTGGAGCCTGTGTCTGATCTTAGTGATCTGCCAGTGCGAGACAACACTTTTCCTGCCTCTGAGGTATGACCTATTATTCTTAGCTTAGAGTAATACGTCCAAATGGATAAAAAAAGTATTAATTAATCGGCAAAGAGACGTACTGTATGGATAAAGTTGTAGACTTGGTCACACACAAGTTCAGAGGAACGCGGAGTCATTATTTTCAACTTTTCAACAGGTGTTTACGAGGCTCTGCACAAAATGCGCGACACTTACTCAGTCATTTTCCCTAATCCTTCATTACTTTGCGTTTTGTACCTCTTGGTGAGTGATTGGCTATTTCCGAAACAGCCTCTAATCCACAACCGCATCTGCTTCATTTCCACCCAGTGAAACCCTAATTTCCTGATCATCGAATCTACAGAGACAAAAATCTTTCGAGATATATCATAAAATGAACGATATTTGTATTTTATAAGTTGGTGAAACATACATATTGCCGTCATGGTCGTTACCACTACCACTATCGTCATCATGGTCAGTATATCACCGCCATTAGGGGCCTCTTAAACAGCCTTAGCCCAGGGCCCCAAAATTTCTTAATCCGGCCAAAAGGCAGGCGGTGCACCTCGTACAACCCGCGGTGCGTGTTTATGGTGAGCAGTCGCTTTGATTCTGCTTCCATGCACAGCTGCTGGTATGCACGGCTCAAGTCCACTTTAGAGAACTCCTGTCCCCCTGCAAGTTCCACCAACAGTTCATAAATGTTTAGCAATGGGTAACGTACTGGCTTTAGAAGAGGGTTTATAGTGACTGTATTCACCGCAGAGTTTCACAGACCCATCCCGTTTCAAGACGGAGACCGCTGGTGTAGCGAAGTCACTTGTCGCCACTAGTGAGATTATACCCATCTTTTGCATGGTCATAAGCTCCACTTCCACCTTTGGCTTGGGAGCATACGGAACTGGCATTGCCTTCAAAAACCGCGGAGCGGCATCTTTCTTC